GTTAATTTTAAACTCAGTAACATTTCTATATATGACAATTCCAGCTAAATTTTTGTGAGAATATGGCTGTCTAAATTACAGAGTTTGCAAAACCCCTAGCTTAAAGACTAGATCAGGTTAAATATATGCAAATATAAAAAATAAAGTCATGTAAAAGCAACAAAAGGCAGGGAGATGCAAACTGCTCTGGACTGACATTTTAAAGGAGAGTTCATTTACTAACATCATGTCCCAAAATCACACTATCTAGTTAGCTCTCACTTGCTACTCACCTCAAGAACCTGGCTCAATAAAAATTATGCCTTAGAAGCAAATTAATGACCTAAATTATTTTCTATAATTCTATGTTTTGACTTACGAGGTGAGTTGACTTGCCAATGACATTCTATTTTCTAGCTCTTCCAGGTATAGTCGTTTGTATTTTTCCCATTTTTTTTTTTCATTAGAATCAAACTGAAAAGTTTTACTTTTCAGTTCAGGTTCCAGATCTTTAACTGTGTTCCATTTGACTTACTGAAGCACGTTTATACTCTCTTAACAAGTTTTCTTGCGATGCCGCTTGTACCTAAAGCAAATTAAAAGGATACAGTTCTAAAAATAATTATAACCTGAGTAATTACAGTATATTTGTTCCCCTTAGTTTTGAGCCAATGATTGAGAGAGCAATTTTAAGTGTGGGGAAAAAAAAGCTGTACATTAAAATACTTATCATCAATGTCAAGTGAATTAAATCTGAATTATGAAATTAAAGTTGAATCACTCATATTAGTACTCAGATAATGTGATAGTTCAAAAAATAATAGGATCAATTTAAAATTTTAAAAATTGAACAATATAACCTAAGAGTAATCCAAGAGTGTGGTACAATATTTAAATCACAATATATTCTTTTCCTCCTAGTAGTCTTGACTTACACCAATTGCTCTTAAAAATGATTCTCTAGTGAGTATTGTTCTGAAAGATCAATTTAGTGACAGTAATGATGGAAACTGTATTATTCCAAGGGAGTAACAAATGTGGCCTTCCTTCCAGAAATCTACAAAACAAACTGCTATATGGGAAGTAGAGGAAACACATAACATGTACATATCCGAACTGTAATTCTCAGCGAAGTGAGTTGGAGCACGTTACAGATCAATGCTTCACCTGTAAAAACTGGCTGAGTTCTTTCAGTGTTTCTACTACATCCTGTCTTTCTCACTTTTCAGTCTCCCGTTTGTACTGCTCCACTTGACTGCGCTCCACTGTGTTCATTTCGAGGTGACATCTGAGGTTTACTGCTTCTTCCTCCAATTTCTTCTCCTCTAGCGTTTCACATTTCTTTTGCATCTCTTTCATAGATATAACTCCTTTAGAAGAAGTTGAGTTTCTGCACTCAGAGAGAGAAGCACAGAAGATGTAGATTCCACTTTTGCTGGAAGATCAGCATTCTGCATGAAAAACATAAAATTGTTTGGTAATGAGGTTAGCAGACTGAGAAAAGCCTAACTCTAGCCCAGCATCAAAGGCTGAAATAAATTCAGTTACAATAAAATGGTATAACTACCTTGTGGAATGGAGAAACTCAAATTACTCAGAAAATCAAGAAAAAAGTTCAAACCACCAAGAGTCACAAAAATATACTGTTTACTGTCATCATCTTTGTTATACATTTGTACTTGACTTTACACTCTAATGTTTCTCTAATTGTTTCATGTCTTTCCTACATAAAATGCCTATAAGGCACCTCTTAGCAGAAAGTCTCTTACCCCTTCCTCCCCCAAGCCTTAACTCCATGATGTTTAAAGTTTTAGGGAGATCACATTGAGTTACTTAGGGCTGAATTAATAAATGCCTCCCAAAACAAGACTTTGAAAAACAGATTAACTGCAATTAATACATCTTACAAATATGGATTTGGATTCCAATGCCACAAGCCTTTCTCTGAACTACAAATATTTTATGCTAGTTTGAATTGCATTCCGAGGAGCAATGAATGATTCACAGAGTTAAGGAGAAATCCATCTCCTAGTGTAGTGGTTTAGTAAGATGACCCATACACTTTTCTAAACAAACAAAAAAGCCTTCATTCTTGTCATCCTTTGTGGCTCTCCACAAAACAAAAGAACATACTCAACAAAAGCAAAAAAAAACTTGCTGGAATTTCAGTGACACTGACTTGGGAAGAACTGCTTTCCTTCAGATAGAAGGATTATTTGGTGAGACAAGGCAGGTGGATGCGGTGGTTGTAAAACATCTCTACAGATTCCTTGACATTTCCCCTGTGAAATTCCCTCCCCTGAAATACGTGCTGGCCTCAGTCAACTGGTTTCTAGGGGACAGAATGT